TAAGATACGTGGCAAAGATACCATGCTCTGTGAGCGCTTGTGTAACATAATAGTCTACCCTAACGAACTTGCTCTCCGTCCACTCTTTCACATTCCTTATAAATATCTTCGTCCAACCGTTATACTCATTCCATCGACCTTGCCATTGATTAAAAAGACTCTCTCGTGCTTGATTTCTGAAATCTTTTCCTTTGTCATATATTTCCATTCTTTCCTATATAATCAAATCGATCGGTGGTTGACCCGTTATTGCCAAAATTGCCTTTGTCCCCGTCGTTCTGTAAGCTCCTGCAACTTCCAGCGCCAATTTTCGATTTACTGCTTCTAACATATTCGCGTATTTTTGATATTTTAATGCCGACTTCCATATTGGCGCGCCATAGGCGACTACCGAGATAACTGCCGTTCGTAATAGTTTTCTGTTCTTGCTTCCGGGTCCGACTATATTCGGCATTATTTTTCTTAGTATATTCGTCATTTGAAGCGCCTTTTCTGTTGTTTTTTTAACATGCGTTGTCATGCGTAAATTGCGGTCGAAGGTCACCCAGATATTTTACACTTTCTGAAGAACTCAACCCGACACCATCCACGGTCAAGTCCATACTAACCAGTGTTCTGCGCCCTTCCACGATCAGTAATTCGGACTTTTTAGGTTCAACCAAAAGACCCATTTTGCGCAGTTCATCTACGACTATATCCACTGTAAATTGTGCTTTCTCTTTTACCTGGCTAGCTGTTTTTCCCCGTATCAGAATAGCCAAGTCATCTGCGAATGCTATTAATAGTACACCATTTTCCATCTGAATGTCATATAACACATTCCATAAAGTCGGACCTAAGATCGATCCCTGCGGGACTCCACACGACATTACTCTCTCCTCATCAAACGCAGTAATTATTCTTCTCTCTGATAGATACGAACCAATTATTTTTATTAAGTATTCACTAACTTTTCCTTTTGTCAACGCTTCCATGATGCCTTTCCACGAAGCGGAATTGAACGCATTTTTAATGTCTAAGAGTACCATAACGCACAATTCTTGATTTGCCAACGCTTTAGTTTTAATAGATTTCTTTACGTCCATAACTGCCTTCATCGCGTCCAAAGTTGATTTGTTTTTTGTGAATCCATATTGATTTCTTTGCACTAATTTTTTTTCGTTAATTTCTTTTTGAAGCCGATTACGTATTACCATCTCCAACAATTTTCCTGCCGTATCTATCAGACATATAGGCCTATAAGTAATTTC